CTCATTTTTATTGGATTCCTAAAAAACAACATTTATAATGAATTTAATAATTTTTCGGATTTTTGAAGCTTTAATCCGACCGATTCAGCCGATTCCCGATCTGGATCGCCGATTCGCCGATCCGGATCGGTTTTTGAGGTGCCTGATCAGGGTCACCGATCCGCTTTTTAAACCATTGATGTGATTCATATTTGGCACCTAAAGGAGGCTTATTGCTCAAGAAGCTCATGGTTTTGAAACTGTGCTCTTGGACAAATGCATACCTGTCTTGTTCTTGTAATTTAATATGTATGTGAGTGATGATTCTTCATATTTTATGTTTGATATTATGTATATTAGATGCCATCAAACAAGACTTCAGAAGATCCACTCTACTTCACAGATTCATCTAATTGAGGATATAAGAATACTATTAAATCAAGCACCTTACAGTTCCAACTGGTATAGAATCTAATCCAGGGTTTGTTTTCTTATGTTAAATTTCATATCATGCTATTGTATAAGCTTGTTCCAGTTTGCATTCTCAACAGTGGTTGGTGATTATGATTTCTGGTGGTCGTTATACTCATTTGCATGCATGCGTGACTTTTTTTATTAGTGACACACACACACATGTAGAGATAGAGACACATATGCTGCATGCATGTATTTATGTATGAACATGTGTGTGTGTGCTCGTGTAGAAAAGATTATTTATCATGAAGAAAATTTGGACTTTTGCATCACAGAAGGGACACTTGTATTTCTAGAGATAGGGTGAGCGTAAGGTAATCTGTTTAATGTGGAAAGTCAAAATGTCACACACGTTGCATGTGTGTGAAAAAGTGTGTGAAAAAGAGTGCGGGTGTGTGTGTGAGAGAGAGATTGCAACTTCTACTGTTGCTGTTTTGGTCAAAGGAGAAAAGTTGCAGCACTGACTGTTGAACTCATTAACGCTTCTTAATTTCATCATTATGGGCTTAGTTTCTCTCTGCATTTGACAGATTTCCACAGGCCCTGAATCACGCCAAGTGACAGGCCCTGCAACACCATTGCAACTCAAGAACTTCACGCTCTGTCTTCACCTTCAAGAAGTCCACACACGCGCGCCCACAATGATATTGGACCTACCCATCATAGCTAGGGATGTTCTCTCTCCTTCCTTGGCCGTCATTTATGAAGTAGCATGTGACTCCATAACCCCCCTCTTCCAATCAATGCTTGATCGCCTTGAAAACTGCATACTAAAAATTCATGATCAAAACTTTGGATCCCATGGTGCTGAATCTTCCCCTATAGACAACATGGCTTCTGAATACATGGATGAGCTTCAAAAGTCCATAACCCATTTTAGAACCGAGTTCCTCTCAAGACTATTGCCATCCTCAAGTGCGGTATTATCGACTGAGACCATATGCACAAGCCTTGTTAGAAGAATGGCTTCAAGGGTTCTTGTATTCTTCATTAGGCATGCTGCACTTGTCAGGCCCCTATCTGAGTCAGGAAAGCTAAGGTTGGCTAGAGCCATGGCTGAATTGGAGCTTGTAGTTGGCCAAAGCTTGTTCCCTATTGAGCAATTGGGCCCACCTTATCGGGCCCTTAGAGCTTTTAGACCCATTATCTTTCTGGAAACCTCTCAATTGGAGGTGTCTCCTTTATTGCGAGACCTGCCTCCTAGTGTTATTCTCCATCACCTCTATTCGAGGGGTCCTGATGAGTTGGAATCACCAATGCAAAGGAATAAGCTCACTCCAGTTCAATACTCGTTGTGGCTTGATTCACAAGGGGAGGACCAGGTTTGGAAGGGGATAAAAGCAACTCTTGATGATTATGCCTCTAAAGTTGGGGCAAGAGGGGATAAAGAGTTCAGCCCTGTGTACCCTCTTATGCTTCGACTGGGGTCCTCTTTAGTCGAGGGTGCTCTTGAGTTGAAGAAGGCTTGATGGGTCTTGGTGCATTATCTCCTCTTATATCAATGAATTCTTTTATGACATGCTTGTTATTAAAAGAAGAAAAGAAAAAAATCCTTTCAGAATTTGATGGATTCTTATGGAGAGCCATTAGAGGCGAAGATGGCCAAGTGCTAATCAATCAATGATCCAAATGATTCTTATGGTTAGCATTTCGGGATTTAAACCATGTGGAAGATAGTTTTTCTAGTAGTTAAAATCTCAATGTTCCACAGGTACCAGGTTTTCATCTTTGCTCATTGGTCAGGCATATAGATCTTTGATTATGATTACTGATTCATTGCTACTTTCTTTTGCAGAGGTGAGTTGGTTGTATAAATGTGTGCAACCTTTTGTTCTTTTATGTTACGGTCTCACCAATTGTAGCCTAACTGGATTTTCCGGAGAGAAATACAACTGAAAGATTAGTATATCTTATGAATGAATAGGGGACCATTTATTTTTGGTATAAGAAGGTCATAATCATCATTGACCATTAGATTTGAAATCAGGTGATTGAGGGCACAAAGTCCAATGAAATTTCTCGAATATTGTGGCATATTTTTATCTATTGCATTTTATATCTAATGGTTATTAGTGAATGTGATCTCTTTGTACCAAAAATAAATTGTTTCATAATATACATTCTTAATAATAATGTGGAGATTCTTGATGAGATCCAATGCTTGATGCGTGTGTTTGTGGCCTGCATTGGCTTTGACATCAAGAAGAAAGAACTTGGCCTTACATCCTTCCTTGTATGTGGCCAAATAAGCAAAATCAGTAATAATGGAGCTTAAAATCTTACATGCATAACAGCTTAGTGATAATTATCTTCAATAAATTGGATGTTAAAATTATTATAATTTTATCGCAATAAATTTTAGAGAAATGATGTTGGGACTCTCTCCCACTCATATGTGTGACCTCGAAGGATCGCCATTAAATTTAGTATGGATCTTTAAAAAAGTCAAATCCTACACTCATGTGATAATTTTTTTAGGGATTCATGTCAAATTTAATGGTGATCATTTGGGATCTTACACACATGGGTGGGAGAGGGTCCTATAGGATCATTACTCTAAATTTTATTGTTAATAATAAGTCCAATAAAATTTTGGTACTATGAATTTATCATGATGATTCACAATAAAAACCTTCTGCAATAATAAATGTTATGTGGTATGAAAGCAAGCAATACGAGCTTGAAAAGAAACATTTCATTTACCTAAAAATAGTGTTAAAAATTTCGAAACAAATTTTTTTATTAATTCAATTTATGTGAGAAATCATTTGTAGCTTTGTCATTTATAAGCGCTTGAACATATTTATGTTTTTTATTTACATTTTTTTGTATAATTTGAATTCAAATTCATCAATCTCACTAAGATTTATTTCATAATAATATTTAAAATAATTTAAAGTCCAATAATTATCTTTTAAATTCTTGAATTAAAAGGTTACTACGAGAGTATCTTCCCCCCCCTCGCCCAATGATATCCCGACACCGATAATTGCCACTGAGCCAACATGATCCCCATTGAAATTTAAGTTTTCATAAAAATACGGCTTTCTTTTTACTAGAAACAAAATACTAACCATGCAAACAGAAAAGGGCTTTGGTTAAAGATGCACTGTGAAATGACTTTTTTGTCTCTAAAATTAAAAAGCGGCAAAAATAATAGAAAAAATAGAATTGGAGAAAGAGCGGAACTGTTTAAAAAATATAGAAAAATAGGGAATTTTTATTTTTTTAACTGAGGAAGTCTTTTTCAGTTACAATAGCCATTATTTTAGATTACTTTGAAAGCATCCATTATTTCAGTGCAAAAAATTAAAACGACCATATTATTTGTATGAAAAAGTTTATATAGGGCATAGGCTTCATGATAAAAAGTATAGCTGCACCTCAAAAACCCTCAAATTGGTCTTTTTAATTTCCTTTTGGATCCGGTTTCTATGAAGGGCGCAGTTTGTATAGAGCATAGGCTCTAACAATCAAATTATAGCCTACCTTCCAATAGTGTTAGAGAAAGGTGGTTTCAATATTGAAAATCTTTGTAATAGCCTTAAAATATATTTTCACCTTTATTTATAAAGTTTAAAGCTTAAAAAACATAATAGATAGACAAATCTATGAAAATTTGAAAGTCTTGAAAATTGACAGTCCATAAATACTTAACAAAAAATACTATTTTCAAAACTTGAAATCCATTTTTTCTTATGTCCATACATCTTGATCTCGAGATGATCAATTAGAAAATATTTAGGCATCAAAAAAATCTCTCCTAGTAATGTTTTTGAGGTAGGCTCTAATTTGATTGTTTAGATCCTCGGCTCTATATAAACTTTTCCCTTCTATGAACGCATGCACGGCCGACACAACGTCCACACCATCCCTTTCACTTGGACTTGGACGGTGGTGATGAAAGGGATGGCGGGGAGTTCATGTAAGCATGCCCACGTGAAACAATTAACCCTTTCTTTTTATTTCAAAACATGTTGTGGGCACCTCCTGATTGGTGTACAAAAATAACAATATTTTTAGGTTCGACACTTCTCATCACTGAGTCCTCGTAAAATCTTACTTTTTTTTGGTTTCAAATTATTTCATAAAAATCACTCCTAATCGAATTCATGTAGCCATCACCCGAGGAGGATAACAGTATGCTTGATCATATTATTTCAATTTACATTTCAAATATCTTTCAGTTACCTGCCAAAACTATTTTTAATAGGTTTTTCATAATCAAATGTTTTAAACCTCAAATCATAATTTAAAGAACAGACCTGAAAATGGTGACAAACTTTAGGACTAATTTGGTTTTCAATATTATTTAATTGTCAAAGGTAGATTTCTCATCTGCCAAGTATAAATTCACTTAAAGTTGGTAGTCACTTGGGAGTACTAGAACTATGTGATACAAGGTCAGGATATTATGTGCCTTTCTGCTGGAATGTTGTAAGCAATAATGGAATTCGATTTTTAGATTTTATTCTGGACCAGATTGATCAAGGCATAGATCCAGTCAGATCGCTGGTGTAGTCTAGTTTTCATAACTATGATCTCTCCTCTCTCGATATAGCGTATTACACCTTCTTTTTTTTTTGACAAATAAAAAGTGAATTAGTCCCATACAACATTCTAATACCTCGTTAATTAAAAGTATCTAAATTTCTAAAGGGCCAGAAGCTTAAAAAACCATTGAAATGCATGTCAAAGTAACATTGATGCTAGCTCGAATAGCTTTGAACATCGAGAAAGCTTAGTAGGTATACGTTTGCTTTGAGGATATCTTTAGTCCTTAAACGATATAGTAAACATTTTACCAATGCAGTATTGAATATTAAAAAACCAATAGTTAACATTTAAGAAAGACAAAAAGGATATGTACATGATGCGGCAAAAATATCAAGCCGGGGATAAAATCGTAATTTGTTGACTTTTCTAACTTGGAAGACACAATAATGAGATTCTAGAATCAATCTTGGGATATACTTTAAATCTCTATGAAGGATTCATTTGAAGGTTAATAGGTGGAGACATGGTATATAAGGAAGAATTAATTCGAAGATTAATAAGTTAAGCAATACTCAACAAGGAAGGAAGTCACTTGGACGATGAAAGGTTGAGAAAGTTTCAAAGAAGGAAATTTAATGCAAATAAATGAGCCACCAAACCGTGATCTTTTGTTCAAAACTTTCCATTTTCCTAAGACATGTGGTAAAAATTGTGTTTGTCCGTAAAAAGTCTCTAAAAATTGTTGAATAATGGTGAGTAAATATTCTAAAATAGGTACATAGTTTTCCCTCGTTACCACCTCCATTAACACCTTCAAAAATCTAACTCCTAAATTATTTGAAAAAACAGATAGGGACTTCTCTTTTCCACTGTTGTTATATTTGCTTTGCTTCGGGCGAAGCACCCCGAAGTCTTTGGGTTTTACCTATGGATCGAAGCGAAGCGAATAGTTATCATCTTTTCAACTACGTTTTGCCATTCAAATTTCAAACGCTATTAGAAAAACGAAATTGCGGTCTGCCCAAAGAGAGAGAGCAGTAGCCCCGAATCCAACTAATTTGAGGGGCGTGTTACATTCTTCATTACCTACCTACGTGGCCCATCCCTGATCAACGGGTATTACTTGCCTATCTCTTTTGTTTTTATAAAATCCCACAACTGTCCTACTTTTATTAAAATAAAATTTACCCTCTACTTTATTTGAAAGGATGGTTATGTCCTCACGTGATAAAATAATTGAATGTCTTTTTTTTTTCTTCCTTTTTTTTTTGATATTTTTTTTTTATTTCTTATTATTTGATGAGAAATGATCTTATAGGACCCTCATCTACCCATATGTGTAGGACCCCAAATGATCATCATTAAATTTGGTACAGATTTATAGAAAAGTCAAATCCCACACTGATGTGATAACTTTTCGTGCCAATTTTAATGGTGATCTTTCGGAGTCCTACACACATGGGTGGGAGAAGATCCTACAGGATCATTAATCTTATTTTATATATTAAACCTAAACTTTATTTATATTGAATTAAAAAAAAAACGAAATCTTTCCCCACATTGACTATACTATATTTTTATATAAAAACTTATACTTTATTTATATTCAATTTTTTTAAAAAAATCCGAAGTCTTTCCTTGAATTGGCCGAAGCACCAAATTGCTTCATTTGTTTTTTTTTTTTAATCAAACCGAAAAAAGCTTCGAAACGAATTTGACAACATTGATGTTTCCCACTAAAATAACCCCAAAAACAAAATTATGAAAGTCTCCGGTCTTCTTCGAGGTCTGTGTTAGCTTGAGGAGTTGAAGATTGTATTAGGTTGTGATTTAGGCATTAAATAAAATAGTGGTTGTTAGTTTAAACTAGTTCCTTGGGATTTTATTCATTTTAATATGAGGAGTTCTTTAATTCTATTTGGCTTTGGCTGATATCAATCTTCTAGGGGATTTGGGTGCAATATTACTCAGGGATCCACCTACTAGGAGGGATTACCTTTGGTGGAAGAGGCTAGTAGGGTCCCTATGTGTGCTGGTCTAGGGAGTAAGTAGTTAGGGTTCTTACACAATCAAGAGTTGCTTTGAAATCAAATCCCATCTATCAGTGAAAGAATATTGACCTAGATTTTTATAAATGAGAAAGCATATAACTATCCTGCGAGAAAGTCATAGTCACGGTTGAGCTCAAAGTTCAAAATAAAAATTTCGATATTTATTACACAACCCTAGCCAATGTGCTAAAGCTTAGATGAGTCCCATTCGAATTCAGCTAAGGAAGAACCAGCAAAACTCTACTTGTTCCCGCATTGTAGCACTACATTTTGTACAAACTCGCCCTAATCCTTGACAGACTCAATCAAATAAGCACTACTGACACAGACATCCTGTCGAGTCTTGAGACCAACCCTTGCTTTTGAGCATTGCCTTTAGTCGAATTGCATATTAAGCTGATGGTGATTGTGACCTTATTGGACTAAACATAAACAGTCTTATATTATACATTCCATTAGAAATTTCCTATACATTCTATTATAAATTTCCTTTGATGTACTGAGACTCGGATTGA